TATATTAAGAGGTGTATAGACACTCACTTACTGTGACCCAGTTCTCTCTCTCAGAAGAATTCATGTTAAGGAAATAACTCAAAAAGACAATTAGAAATTCTTTATCACCATAGATAAGATTATTCTCACAATTATATAAAAATTAAATTCAAAAGGTGAATATTTATTAGACATACAATGTTTTAAAACAGTACAGTCCAAGCAGCCAATATATCACACCTGACTTCAATCTTATGGAATAAGGAATATGGAACAGCACAAACCAGGGTTTATTTTTATACTAGCTTAAAAATACAAATATCTGTTATTAAACAAAAAAACTATTTCTCTTGGTTATTATGATGAGATGGGTATTAAAGAAACTTGTAGAATTGTAAAGAATAAAAGTTTCTAAACCTTTTTTTTTTTCAATTTAAAATATAACAAGCTAGAAAAGCATCTAAGACTGGACTGATAAAAGAATAAGGCACTGCTTCTGTGATGCGCAGTTTTCTCCCTCCCAGTATCTTAAACGAAGCTGCTCGGGGTCTATCTTCCAACAACAAAGAAAAGATCAAATAAGTTTTTGAAAAGCAAAACTGCTACCCTAGGAAGAAAAGAAGATAATGATCTCACACATAAAAGCAGGTATCTTGCCTTCAGGGCTTACAAAAACAACTCTAGAGTTCTGAAGATCCATTAGAGTGATTTTGTGTAACAGTTGAATTTTCTTAGAGAGTAGGAAAGGTGGCCATTAGATTGGCCAGACTCAAATGTTCTAAAATAAGGGTGCCTACTAAGTCACTTCTGAAAACCAAAGAACTGACTTAACCTTTTTAAAGAAAATGATCTTTAAGAAAGCGCTTGTGTCCATTATTATATTGATGAGCGTTGATGAGTGAGTGTTGATGCTAATGTGTTTTGTGTTTTTGTGCCAAAAGAACTCTACATCTTATACTGATGGTTTTACTTGTGAGGCTGGTGGGTCAGAAGCCAAATGCATTCTGACTGCAGAAAAGCACTTGGTAAAGTTTCCCTGATAGTCATGTGAGCAAGCTTATGACATGGGAACTAGATGGTAGGGCTGCTGGACACAATCATGACGACCAAGGAGCTCCATCCAGCCTGCGTTGATTAATGACTTTGCGTCAGCTCAGTGGGAGGTCTGCCTCAGACTGACATGGGGATCATTCCCTGGCCTTGTCCTGTTTGTCATTTTTTATCAATTCCTTGGGTTGAAAGTATGCTTATCACATTTTTAGCTGCCACGAAGTAGGGATGGCTTGCTAACAGCATAGATGACACAGCTCCAACAGAATGAGATCAACAGGCGGTCACAGGAAACTGAAAACTGAAGACTAGAATTCAATAGGGAGGAAAGGTGATTTTACTCTGGGGACTGAAAATAAAATCAATAAGTTAAGTGTGGGAGAACTGAGACTTCATTAGTAAGCAGGAGAAAGAGAACTGATTTTTTTTTTTGTTTCATTCATGTCCTGGAAAATAGGGATCCTTGGAAGGACCAAGACATGTAAATGGAAAATTAGAGCTTATGTCATGGGGCCTGTCCTTCCTACCTATCTTTGCATCACAGTATACCTGGAATATTGTCTAGATGGGAGCCTCATATTTCAAGGGGTTCAGGAAACACTATAGAAAGATCAACAAAACCATGAAAGGGAAAATTAATATGTCCTTGGTATTTATTCTGGGCCTGGTGCTATCCTATGCTGGGAGCTTTGTACTGGTTCTTATAACCCCCTTAGCACGGGTATTATATTCTCCAGTTTGTAGACCAGGAAAGTGAGACTCAGAATTTAAGGAACTTACACAAAGATTAAGGGCTACACCAAACAGAATGGAGCCCAGGGCTATACATTGCTTAAACTTAAACTCTACTTTCTCTTTCAGAAATTTCAAGTATTATTGAATATACTTCAAGTACTATCACATTATCCTATGGAAGAGAAAATGAACTGAACTAAGTGGGCCCAAGGATACAAGGATTAAGGTCTTTGGTGCAGTTTCATAAGGCAACCAATTTATGCTTACGGACGAAGTAATGAGGACAGTTATCCAACAGTACAAAGGTATGTTCACTTACATCTTGAGTTTTCTTTTACTGGAGCTGTATAAGCGAGAATAGAAGGTCACCTGCCATGAATATGTGGCAAAGATTCTTTATTCTCCTTTTCAGAGAGAAATGTTGAACACAAAGACCTGCCCCATCCCCTACAACACTAAAAATTCCAAATCTGTAGTCAAGCCCATAAAAAGTTCAACTATATTCATAAAGAACCAACTTGCCAACTTCTCAGCTTATGTTCTTTAAGCTGCTCTTTAATCCCATGGAGCATTCCAGATTGTTGGAATTTTAGTTTCCGGTTTTACAACTTGCTAATTGCAAGACCATAGATCAATTCCCATAACTCTCTAGCATCAGTTGTCTCATTGGCAAAATGGGGACAATCATGATGCCTTTTTCAAATGGTTTTGCAAACATTTAAAAAGCACTCATTTAAAAATTAAGTACAATTCCAGAATCTTAGTAAAATAAAAAATAAATGTTAATGATTGAGAGCATCCCTGTTGTGACTATAGTTATGATAAATGGAGTGACTGAAGATATTTGTCAGGGGCTTATATTTTCTTTTTCTTTGACATTTCTTTAAGGATCAAGTAAGGATGTCAGGCTGTTCCGTGAAGCAGTTGGAGCCTTGAATGGGCCGGGATTTCTGAGGTGCTGCCTTTCCTGTCTCTCTACTGCACAGCTTCCCTTAGAGTCAAGACAGGCATTTGCGGGGAAAAAGGACACAGACCTCAAATTCCACTTGGTTTCACTGGGTCAGGATATAAATCAATGAACCAAAACCTCTTCCCAAGGCACCTTTTGTCTTTTTGTTTTTCTTCTTGTATTTTGTTTTAAAGAATTATTTTATTTAACTTTATTTATTTTTTAATTTGAACACAGAGAGACAGAGTGAGAAAGAGAGAGAGGGAAAGTGAGAAAGCAAGCCACAAGGTCCGGGACTCGAACCGTGGTCGGCCATGGGGGACTCCAGCACCCTTAAACACCATGCAACCCGCCAGCCCCTCTTGTTATTTTTATTCCTAAATGCCTGTTTAATCTTTGACATTTATACAGTAAGCATGTTCATGTTAACACATCACAGTCAAATAGCTTGCAAGTGTGTAAAATACAAAACAGGGGGCCTCCATCATTCTGTTTACTAAACCCTCTGCGTCATGCACCTGCGTCCCTCTACGCATATCCAAAAGGAGAGCTCAATGGAGGATGTGATGGGTATCCTTGCAGATGTATTTTTTCTACCCAACCACAAAAAGCACTCACTTTACTCTTTCATTTATGTTCTCCACAGTCATATGAAGTGTTACCACTTTCCACATGATGAATTAAAGATCAGAGAGATAAATTGAGTGGACCGTTCCCCTGTAGTAAGTCAGTATCAGGGTTGGAACATTGACCTGGTTATCTAAATCAGTTGATTCTTATCCTGACACCAGACGGCCTTGACATCCTGGAAGCCTGGCTTCTGAATTACGGCATAAAAAATCATGAACAAGATTCTGAAGTCAAAATTTAATTAGTATTGGCCGTGGAAGCTGTCACATTTAAGAGGAAATTAATCTTATAAAACTCCATAAAGAAATATTTTCTTTAAAATGGAAGACAAAGCAATAACACTCCTAAATTTTTAAGCAACAACTTAGACATTTTGATATCTTATGTTTAGAATAAAATACGATCTGATAGGTCCTCAATTTCTGGTTAGTTTAGTTTTTTCCTTGTGGGAGGAGTTCAAAATGCTACAATTTGGGGGGAGAATGTTTGTCTTTCTCTATAATGCTTCCTTTTGGGGGGAGTTGTTTATTTAATAATCAGCGTCAGGCATGTTTTTGCATTTTTTGGCAAGTGGCTACCAGTTTTGGTTCCTTCCGATTTGATTAATTGGACCACAGAGAAGACACAAGAACCAAACTGATTAGATGTTTCCATTTTTTTGAAACTAAACATTTGGGCTGTGCTGCATTTTTTGCCTATGTACAGGCGACCACAGTGTTATATGTTCTTAAATCCACTGTTGAATTGAGAACATTTCATGTTTTGTTTTGTGATGCCTTTTCCTTGTGATGAGTAGCTGTTCGATTTTAAATTCAGAGCCCATTGTACGTGAAATGTGCAGACCTCTGGTGACATGTCTATGACAGGCTGTTGGTATGGCTGAGGGGCCCTTCCATATGTCACAGGATGACATGTGGTCAGGTTATACAGACCAGAGTTTCCCAGGCAACCGAGTCATGCCCTATGGGAAGCAGAAAAAATATGTTGGACATGAGAGGTCTGGAGCCGCCATGTCTCCTAGCCATTGTTTGCTTTCTTTTGTCTCCTTCCTTACATTCCCCATCCTTCTGACTGGAGTCTCCAGTGTGAGGGCTGCATTCCACTTCTGATACTCCAGAAGGTTCTCGGGGGTGCAGACATTGAAAAAGGTAATAATAACTTACTGTTTTCAACTATTAATATAGTCACATTAGATAAAGTCATTTCAAGTTTTTTCGGTCAAGTGCATCAAGTTAATTGCATATAGTTAAATAGGTAGTATGTAGGTTTGGCAAAACGAACAAGCAAGACTGAGGTTGGCACACAGACAATTAGACTCAGTTTCCAAAATTTGTATCATTCTGGTTTTTTTTTAACTTATATGAGGGGACTTCATAAAGTTAGTGGGAAGTGGAATTAAAGTATAAGTTAATTCCGTTGCAAAAAAAATCTGAAGTGTATGCCTATTTTTTCATAATATACATTTTCTACAAACTTTTCAAAGATTCCTTGTATTTTTTTATTCTTTTACAACAACAACAATTGTAATGATGCTTAACAGTTTTTTTCCCTTTCAAATTGGTCTGTCTGTCTATCTATCGATCTATCTACCTACCTGGTCTTCCTTGTTATATATATATATATTTTTTTTTTTCCAACAAGGAGGAAGAGTTATTATTCAATGGCTGAAAGGAGAAACCTATAACACTGTTTCCTGCTTCATGTTAAGAGGGCTTAGTCTGGAGTCAGATAAACTTTTTTAATCCCAGCTTCATCATTCACTAGTCATGTGGTCTTGGGTAAGTAATTTTGTGTTTTTTGACCTCTCTGTATCTCAGTCTCTTTCTTTCTAAAACAGGGAGAGCGAAGAGACTTTCCTCTTAGGATTATAGTGAAGATCAAATGGCTAATGGATAAAAATGCTTAGTATAGTTCCAGTACAAAGTAAACACTTAATAAATTCTAATTATCATTTTATTCTCATTATCATGGTTCTAAGAAGCTATTAATTGCATAAAATCTTTTATATGAAACACGATGATGTCTCAGAGAGATGGTGCATGAGCTCTCAATCATGAGGCTTTTGGAGCCCTTGTAAAAACAGTCAGGTTGCATTATTTATTAAGATATCCCTTCCGAATTTATGCAACTGTAGACAATATCCTTGGTTCTGAAACTTCCTCCAAAGTAAAGGTAACTCCTGGTTGTTGGCTGGGGACACCTTTGGAGTTAATAATCTTCACATCATTTTTTAGGATACAGCATTTATGGCATGCTGCTCCCATGTTTTCAGAAAGTCAAGCAAAGAGAAATTTCTTGAATGAGTCCTAAGAAGATACTTATTTCTATCTGAAGATGCAATAGTGCCATTCATCATCTTTAAAGTTTTCTTTCTAGTAACAACCCTAGCTTTTTGTTGTTAATTTTTTGGTCTCTGAATGAATAGAACATTCAATAAAAAATAAATGGGTCTCAGGTCACTTCCCTTACTCTTTTATTTTTAATCCATGCAGTTTTCTAATGCTAATTAAAATGAGTATTAACGTGCCGTAGGGTTGGTTGGGCTGATGCACTCAAGTGTTTGCAATGACTGGTCCCCTCCTTTTGCTGGCTGCACAGAAACCGGGCTCTGTGAGTTCTGAGTTATTGACAGCCTTCTAGAGACATACGCTGCATTTGTCCAGCCATTTTGGTGCCTCATACTCCTGATATTTGCCCTTTAATTTTATTGCAAAAATGCATATCACAGGTAATAGTTTCGAAAGAGATGAGGTCCCAAAGTAATAGAGACTTTTAAAAATGATGAAGTTGAGTATGGTGAATAAAGTGTCAAATGGAGAAATTGGAGTAATCCATCCTGTTGACTGTGATATGGGATAATACAGACTTGCTTTACTTCCTCAGAGAAGAGCAACATTTCAAAGATCATCTAATCTGTCTTTTTGAAAAAGGTTGCTAGATTGAAGTCATGCCTCAGTATATCCCATTTCTTCAATGAGAAAAAATGCTCAAAAGAAATGCCTAAGTTTTCCAGATTGCATGCAAAACTCAAACACAATCCCTCCTCTCTGCCCGACTCCATTACTTCATACTGATTTCAGAAAAACAAGTCTATGACAAAGCGGACTGACATCATTTATTCAGTGATTTATTCATCCGATACTCTTACAAAGCCTTCGCTGTGTCTTGCATGGTATAATAATGGCTAAGGTTGCTGAGCATTTCCTACGTTAATCTGCACAATACACGTAAAAAGTGCAGACCACCTTGCCCCATTTTACAGATGAGAGAACTAAGGCTTAGAAGGAATAACAAAGTATTTGAGATGGCACAGCTGAAGTTTGAACTCAATAAAGTAAGCTTTATTCTTTTATCATCCTTTTCCTTCCTCTAATCTTTCTTCTTCATATTATTGTGCAAACTTCTTGAGCTCCTGGTATTTATGAGTCATTTCTATTGGGATCCTCAGGCTGGTTCCCAAGACTTACTGTCTTCTTATTCTAGACTCTCTTGGCATGCTTCAACTGTGAGGCTTAGATGTGCAAATCACATTTTGATAAGCATCCCAAATCTTTTCTCTGAGCACCTCCTCCAGGCTTACCCTTAGATATCTCAAGGACATCTAAAACTCAATGGTTTAAAAACTTTTTTTTTTTGTCCTTATCACCCACTCTGTTCCAAACCTGATGTTTTTTCAGAGATGTTAGTATCCCCATTCCTCTAGTTACACAAACCAGAGACAGGAATTACCTTTGACACTCTTGTCTCCCTTACCCCAGGACTTGTCACAGACTCTTCCTTAGTATCTCTTAGTTCCTTCCACAGCTCTAAATCTCCACATCCACCAGCCTGGTCTCCCCTAGTGCGTCTCTGGTGTGAACAACGACAATGCCCTCCTAATGGTACTTTCCACCCTCGTCTCTTTCTGTTTGGTTCTCCATGCATCAAGCAGATTGGCATTTCTCTAAGTGACGATTTGCTCATGTTGACTCTGCCCTTGTCTTCAAGGATACCTATGTCTCTTGTAATAAACTCCCAAACTTTTACCATGACCTTTCTTTGTCCTGTCTCATACATCTGTGTCCTCCAATCCCTGCATTTTAACCACGAAAATTTTAAAGCCCCTTTGTAGTTATGAATAAATACTCAAACAAATACACTATGAGAAGGCATGATGGGATTATGACATGATTAAGCAAACTATTTTCTGTTCTAGTTATTTATAAAACAAACAAACAGAAAACAACTAGTCTCTAGAGCAGAGGTTCTCAAACTTTAGCAGTATCTGCCCTTGGAACAGAGTAGTGAGTCTCACTTCTAGAGCTCGTGATTCAATGGGGTGAGTGTATCAAAAATGCATTACTTCTCTGGGAACCAGCAGTTGCGTAATGGCTATGTCGCTGGACTCCCACGTAGTCGACCGCGGTTCGTGTCCCGGACCTGGTGGCTTAAAACTCACGCCGGGCGCGTGTGCGTGCGTGCCCAAGATCCCGAGAGGAGAATGGAGGAGAAGGGATTGCGGCGTGACCATCCCCCCTGGGGGGTGATTTCTCGCTTTCTGTCTCTATGTCTCTCTCTGTCTGTCTGGCGAGCGCACGCGTCCTACAGTGAAAATCTCTCTCAAAAAAAAAAAATGCATTACTTCTCATGAGTTTCCTGGTGCTGCTGGTGCTGCTGGTCTGGGGCCACACTCAGACAACTACTGTATTAGTCCATGTATGTTTTTGGAAGGACAGTTTTTCTAGCTCTGTGTTCTTGATATTTGGGGGAAATAATCTCTTCTACATTTACTTCACCAGGTATAGCCTTGCCTATTATTGGGAGACAGACTAGTTTGCTTTTTCCTCAGTCATTTCTTGATGTGGGAGATGCTTCAATATTTCAACCCCCGTGTCAGCCATTATTCAGGGATTCAATTTCCAGCAGCAATTTGCTTATTAGCAAGACTCTCCTGATTTTCCACAGGGACAAGTGCCTGCAACTGGAAATAAAATGTGGAGGGGGGTGAGGGAGGCTTAGGTTTCAAACATCTTTCACTGAGGAATTAATTTTAAAGAGACGCACAACAATGAAGCATGAACGGAGTCCAGACACCATCATTCAGGGCAAGCTCACCCTCTGAAACTGGCACTATGCCAGCATGCAGCCAGGTGCCTCTCTTGGATCTGAGTCAAGTGCCCTACGGCCACCTACGGAGCACTCAGGTAGGATTCTGAAAGCCCCTCACCTCCGTCTGCCCTGCTTGATTACTATTTCAGGTCCCACCAAAGGACTCCCAGCTGGCTGGCCGGGATCCAGACACTCAGGCTGGCCTCTCACATCATCTGCACAGCAGTAACAGGAAGAGCAGGACCATCAGGATAGGGGAAGACGATTAGACCGCCTCCACTGCGAGGAGTTCATCTCAGAGAGGTATTGTTTACACTTGATTATGGTGTTGATGGCTTGTTATTTGGGGACTAGTGGCTGCAGAAAGAAACAGGAGAGCCACACAATCAAAGCTGAGATCCAGGTTTTAATATGAAACAAGACAAAATAATAGAACATTCTGAGGGGAGGTGGGTGGAGTGGGAGAAGATCAACTGTACATAGAGAAGGACATTTATAACATGTCCTGGAAAGAGATGAGCTCACTGGTTTGACGCTAATACCACAAAGTAGTGCAACTCAGAGGGCAGGCAGGTGCTGCTTGCCCAAAGGGCATGTTGTTGAGTACACGCATGTCTAGTTGAATTGGAGGTAGGGGATCTGTGCTTGCTTTATTAAATATTTAAAAGTGTCTAGTCCAGTGGCCATGAGAATGTGCTTCACAAACATCCAACCACAGGGAGGGAAACTAACCAAGGACCTACAGGCTCTGCATCAAATTCTATTGGGTTGTTGGAAAAGTCATGACGGATTTTTTTTTTCTATGCAAAAATGGTCATGACTTTTCCAATGATCCAATGCCTCTGTAATTGTGCCCAGAACACACTTCTAGTGGGCTGCTTCTGGCCAGTCAATGAGTATAGCCAGACAATGCAGCAGGCCCATTCCCAGGAGACATAGAACTCCTGGGATGGCTAGCTTTGGTTTGAAACCTCTTCAGTGGCTTCCAGAACCTTCCTTATACTGCATGGATATCTAAGTTGAATTAGAAGTCTCAGTCTGAGTGCAGTTCTATGATTCCACTCAACCCTCTTTTCTTCTTTCCTTCACTTGAGGCCACACTTGTCTCATAGTCTGATGGGCTTTCCAGCTTCCCCAGATCCTTCCCCATTTTTTCTTGTAGACATTTCTCCTGAGATCTGCTCAGAGCCCCTGGATCTCAGAGTCTCAAAGTCCATTAGTAAAATCATCCACTTTAATTTTTCATTTTGTTTTCTATGCCCTAAACTGAATAAAATGCTGTGTGTTTAAAGAAACCGGGGAAGAGACATCAAGCCATACTGAAGAAGTTGGTGATGACTTAAAAGGCTTCTCCTGGAGAAATATGAGCTTAGGATATTGCCAAATTGAGTGCTTCTCCAATTATGACCCATAAGGTTGACCTTCCATGGTTACCTTGAAATGGCCCCATTAGGTCAACCATGATTGAAATACTGGGGTTGGTTTCTCTCCTAGTCCCACAGTTAAGAGATGCATTCTTTTATATTTCATAAATTGACGATAGCAGCAATGTTTTATGTCGAGATGATGCTGAGAAACATTTCTGCCTTCTGAGGGAAATGGCACTCTTCACCACCATGAGGATATTCTCTTTCTATCTGCTTTTCACAGAGGAGAATGGGTGAAAAGAAAGGGAATCCGAAGCTCACTCTCTCAGTTATTCTCTTCTTCTCAAGGAATAAATGGCCTTTTATTTCTTCAGAGCATGTTCACAAGTTATTTGAATTGCTCAAAGAGTCATAAAACTGAATGGGAGTAGAGGATAAATTGTCCTGCATGACAAGTAGATGAAAAAGGAGAGTAAGGGAGTCTCCAGGGATATGAAGACCACAGGCAACATGGTGGGTGGCAAACTGACTTGTGAGAAAGGGTTGTCTGATCTCCACTTAAATTGGATGGTGATGGTTGTGCAATGCCATAAATCCACTTAATGCCACTAGACTGTAATGCCTAAAATGGTAAATTGTATGTTATATATATATTACCACAATAAAGCAAAACCAATTTGAGTCTCCAAACTTTGGTAACAACTGCTCTTTACATGCATGCCTCTTTTGAGTGGTTTGAGATCAACAAAAGGAGCTACTTTCTATGTGTGTTGATGTAGAAAGGAGAAGAGAATAACAGAAAAGGTAAGAATGGGTGATGTTCAGAGTTTAGTGTAAACCAGGAGAGACAAGACCCATAGGAAGTCATGCCAGTCCTTGCAAGGCAGCTAGACTTCCTAAAGCACATGGGCTTTAGGACTCACATCCATTTCTCTTCCCACTCTAAGGGACAGAGTAAACCCAGTTGTCATCTGGCTTACATAGAAGAAGCAAAGACTCAAAGACTCCTCTTGGGTGCTGACTCTGGTGCACAGGGTAACTCACTGCTTCAGGAGAAGCTGGATCCTATATGGTAACTATGGTTGGATTCCCTGGCCGAGTTTAAAACAACCCAGGCATGCACTAGAGGACTGGAGAAACAGAGTAAGGGGACTGTGTTGTGAGAAGACCCTGTGGAGGATATTCCTCTCCTGTCTCTCTCCCTCCTCTGGTATGCACATACATGCTCTATCATAAATAAAGAGAGGAAAAAGAAAAAGAGACTGTACTCTTTACTGCAGCTTAAAGTTTACCAGTTATAATTTGTTACCTTTCTCGTAGGGCTGGTGTCAAGGACAAAGCATTGAGAATGCTATACAATTGTAGTATTTGCTGGTGGTTATCATTTGATGCTCTCTTTTCACATGCTATGCCTTCTCTCCCCATCTGTTAAATGGTTTATTTTATATTGCATCCCTTTGATAGTTATTGTCTTTGCTTTTTGTCTTTTAAGTTTTTTGGTTTGTTTCTTCTTATATTTCTCCTCTGTCCTTCATGTCATAGCTTCTCTTAACTACTTTGCCCTAAATTTTAAGTATATAAATACTGTTTGGGGTGAGACATGTTACTTGCCTTGGTGACCTATTCAAACTATTTAAAACAGGCCATTTGTTGTGGGTTTTGTTTTGTTTTGTTTTGTTTTGTTTTGTTTTTTGGGGGGGAGGAAGGGGGCTGTAACTCTGAAAGTTAGGGATGAGTTCCAAACACACTGTCCATTCCTAGCTGAGATCTTGTCTGGTCAAGCCCTCAGGATGGCTATAAAGACATCTATAGGCAGTTCTAGGAGTACAAGTGACTTTTCCTTCCATATCTCAACAAACTAGAAACCTATAACTACCACTGACATGACTGAAGGTGGATTGTACCCCCTGACCCGACATGTCATGCTACTCAATAGTGGATGGTGAGTTGGATGTAGCATGTGTTTCTAGAAAACAGTACATCCAGACCCTGTTTGAATCTACCATTGCTGCTTATTCAACTTATGTCAGCTGGTAGTGACTTAAGTTTTTTGTGCATTAGATAGTCTTACTTTCATTTTCCAGATTAGAAAGCTACTTTGATGCTTAGTTTCTCTAAATGCTCACAGGGGTTGGGCCAGCCCCAAAGAAGCAATCACTTAGTGACAGTTCTGCTATTGGGTCACTCCTCCTTCTCATCTCCCCACCAGACCAAGGTCTCTTTCTACTACTTCTTGTCTTGCTTTTATTTTCATGGTTCTATAGTATTAGTTAGACCCAGGATATCTTCATAAGTAAAGTTGAACTTTAAGTGATAGTTATTGGTCTTCAACTCTAACACTCGAAGGTACAGTCACAAAGTGTGTGAGTGATTAACACCCATGAAATTTTAGGCAGAATAAAAGGCATATAAGCAAAGCATGTTCACTGAGGCCCGAACATTTACAAGGTCTGAGGCAAATAACATGCAGACTCCAAAACCGTGTCCTTTAGGTTATACTGCCTTGTGCCTACCAGTGGATGAGGAGTGGACCTTGGCCAGTGACCTCACCTATCAATGAATTCCAGTTTTCTTCTCCAATAAAGGGGATTTTAGTAACCCCTTCACAGTTGCTGGAGGACAGAAGACCGGGTACCAAACAGAGCATTACCTGGCATAATCTCTGGCCACAGTAATTCCAGGGACATTAATCCCCACCTCCCTGCCCCATTTGGTCCTGCTTTTATTTATCACAGCTCAGCTGGACCCCAGCAAGGTGCCTTCTGAAGTGTTGCTGAGTACATTACAGCATGCTGCTTTAGTGGGTTATGTCCTAGCCATTCACAATGATGCTTCAGGGAACCTTAATAATTGCAACATGTTCCACAAATGATACTTGTCAAATAAAATGGGGCATGAAAGCACATATGATGTGGCTTGAGCTACAGCAGTGCTTAGAGAAGGCAGGTATATGCCACCGTGTGAACTCTGCTTGTCTGTGAGGAGGAGATGATGAGTTATTCTTATACTCATTATACTTTCTTTTATTTTTCAAAGTTTCTAAGAAAAGTGCGTATTGATTTTGTCATAACAGACAAATACTTATTATTATTTTCTAGTTTGTTGGTGGGCACATGCACTGGATGAAGAGAGAGAGAGCACCCCCTAAGGGGGGAAGGGGAATCACGACACCATAATTCCACCTACTGTATTTCTCCTTTCAGGATTACACACCCGGCTTGATTTTCAAGACACTGGGACTGGGACTTGAACTATGCAGTCGGCCATGTGGGATTCAGCTGCCTCAACCACCGCGCCATTGGCTGGCCCCTTTCTACTATTTTTAAATTAAGTAATATTGATAAGCCCTCTGTATGAGGCCTCCTTGTATAATGTGGCAGTGTATCTGCCTTTTTGAGAACATAGGGAGTTGTTTTTGTTTTTACTCTGCTTTCATCTTCTTGATGTGCTTTTACACCAAATAAAGATTTTGTTCAAAAGCAGTGTGCTCAAGGCTGTGTGTTTTTTTAAGAGCATTGTCATTTATTGTACAATTAACTCACAGAGCAAAGCAACACTGAAGCAAATCTGACAAAGTGTTTTTGTTTGCTTTTTGTTTAAATGGGAGGGAGGGTTAGTAGGGGAGGCATTTCAATTGTAATGATTTTCCTCTGTGTCACTGAGCAGTTTTCCAGGGCTTTTTCATTATGGCAGTGCTGGGCCATTTGAGGTACCTGCTCTCTAATCAGCCCTGGCTGACTTCCAGTCAGCCTGGGCGGAAACTCACTAGGCACAGGGTTTAATTGGGGCCACCCACCATGGAAGCACTTCCCCCGCTTTGTCCAGAGAGATGGAAGCTCTTAATGTAATGCCCATAAAACCGTCCAACACTGCAGGGCAGGCACAAGTGGGCTCTGGTGTCCCGAGGCTGTGATTATGTCCCAGTTCCATGTTAGCCTTACAGACTTTCCCAAATGCCTCCTCTCCTTTCCTGGACAATGTGAAAGCACTCCATCCAGTCACAGGGGACTGTGGGACTCTACAGAAAGAGAGCAATGTTAGGTATTGGGTTGCCTTCTGGACACCAGCCCTACATTTAGAATCTCTCTACAGAGATCCCAGACTGCTTTAAGAATAAAGGACACACCCCTCCTCTCACCATCCTTGCTACCATTATCCCTCTGGCACCTTGGATTCCTGAAATTAATTCCTTGCAAAAGCTGATTGAGTTTCAATAATTGGTTTTAAATGATCTGCCTCTTGAAATTGTGCTTTGCGGTCTTGTGGAAAGGACAGCCTCAAGCGTGGTGGGGCCACGCAGCTGCACAGCTCCTGGAAATAAATTGTCTGTATATGGGGTGTAGCTTCCATGAGGCACTCCCAGCAGGATGGCAATCGTGTAGCTGCATAGGCAGGACGTCTAGAAGGCCTGAATGTGGTGGGTGTTTTGGGTGATGCAGGTAAGTCAAGGGAGCTGTAGGCTTTTGTAAAAAGTTTTTCTTCCATGAGTAAGAGGCCTGAGGAAGAGCCCCCAGCAGGGTCCTGCCACTGCGATACACCTCTAACCTTCAGCCAGTCCCAGATGATAGACAGACATGTGCTGCACATGCTCAGAAAGGACTTGAACTGGCAACCTTTCCACGCGAGATTGTCTTGCAGAGCATTGCGTTTTACCACCGGGCCACCATCTGGCCCCAGGGAGCTATGACCTTTCACATGCTTAAAACTGGATCTATTACTTGGATGTGATTATGGCTTTCGCAAGTCTGCTCTTGGCTGTGCTTTCCAGGACCCTGGGAATGAAGAGCTCACCTGCTTTGACTGCCCACGCTACCGCCAAGGCAGGTGAGGGGTAGAGGAGGAGAGAGTACTGACGAGGCTACCACTACCAAGAGCTTGCTCTGGCCTTCAACTGGATGATTATGATGGTCATTTTTGCTCATATAGCCATGTGAACTGGACTGTTATTTTAACCATCTCATAGATGCCAGTGGGAGACGCTTCAAGTTCACCCAGTCAGAGTAAGTCCTGCTTGACTCCACAACAGCACTGCTCCCACTAATGTGTGTATGGTCACCAGCGGATCTTCATCTCATGCAGGTGTGCTTCAGCAGGTCTGAGGCAAAGCCTGGGACTGCACGTCACATATACAGGCGACGCCAACATTCCTGGTCTGGGAACCACACTGACTGCAGAGATGACAGACAATGGTTAGTGCACGACCAGCTGCATCTTAGATTCACCTGGAGCCAGAGGGCTTTTAAACTAATTCCAATGTGCATGCGGATCCATTAACTCAGTATTTCAGGGGTCAGGGCTTGGCCATGTGCGCCAAGGTTGAGAACATCTGCTAGGGTGGGGGCTGTATGTCTAAAAGGTCAGAGTAAGTCTCGAGGCATTTAGACTTCTTTGGACAATGGCAATAATGTATGGTTTAGTGAGGAAGGGATGAAGAAATGGAAAAGCCACTGTGTATTCTGGGTGGGGAAGGCAATCAGAATGAAGAACTGGAGAATGAGGGAGAGGCTAAAAACAACACACACACATACATGCACACACACACACACACCAATCAAGCTGGACACAATTCCCAGGCTGGCATGGAACTATTTAGTTGTGGAAGTTGTCCCTTACAGGGTGCAGGGTGCCACAGAGCCTTTAGCTGGGGTTGACTGAGGAGGTGGTATAAAGTGCCTGTTTCAGCAGTCTAGATTGTTTTCCTTCTGGGCTATGAGGTTTCCATTCAGTTCATTATCAAACATGTACATGCTAACCCTGTCCTTCGTACTGGAAACAAAGATGACAATGACATCCTCCCAACTCTGAACTGCTGACCAAGCAGTCATGGCTGTGGGCTGGGGATGGTGGCCTCTACTGCGCTGTCTCACTTATTTGGCAGAGGCCGTGGAGGGAAAGGAAAGTTGCTGTGGGGGACACTTGGAGGTGTGCCTAACGTAGCCTCACTCCGTCAGGTGATCGGGGAAGGTGCCCAGGCGAGATGTCTGCGTCTCTAGATCTATTGCCATGAGGATGGAGAAGGTCGGACCCTGAGTCATTTAGAAAGCAGATTCAGTGACCAATTAATTCCCTCCCCTCCCTTCCTCCCACGTCTAAGAGTGACTCTCAA